CCCCTCTCGAAGTCCACACTTCGAACTCAGGCCACCGTAGTGATGCCCATCAACGCGCCGAGTGACTCGAGACGCGTCTTGTCCAGCGGCTTCGTGAAAGCATCAGCTGGATTCTCTTCTCCACGGACCTTGACCAGCGCGATCGACCCACGCTGTACTTGCTCGCGCACGTAGTGCCAGCGAAGTTCGATGTGGCGTGTGCGTCTGCTGTACGTTGGGTTTGTGGCCATCGTGAGCGCGGCACTGCTGTCGATTCCGATGACCGGCTTGATTGTGTAGGATGGCAATATCTCTGTGAGGATATTGCTCTCGGCCATCGCCTCCATACTGGCCTCACACGCTGCCACGTACTCGGCCTCTGCCGTGGACAAGGCGATGATCGGTTGACGGCGTGACATCCACGCCACTGCACCACCCGCCAGCGTAAACACTGAGCCACTAGTGCTCTTCCGCGTCTCTGGATCGCTTCCCCAATCACTATCGCAGAACCCGCTCAGCGTAATTACACGATCCGATTCATCCCTTCCACGCTTGGTGTACTTGATGCCGTAGTCGCACGTGCCGATCAAATAGCGAAGCACACGCTTGATCGCCCCGACGTGCTTCGAGGAAGGCTTGGCAACGAACCGACTTAGCTGGCCGAGCGAGTAAGCCAGATCAGGCCTAGTGCTGGTAGCCAGGTACATCAACATGCCCAACGCGCCACGGTAGTCAAAACTCGAGTCGATATTGTCATTCTTGGTTGCTGGAGCGAGTCTGGCATTAGTTTCCATTGGGTTTCCACAGTGCTTGGTGTCGTCGTGCACGTACTTGCCGAGGATTTCACGAGCGTACTTACGCTGAGAAATGCAGATTGCTTCACCAGTCTGTGTGACTTCAACACCGAGATACTCATGCACTTCCCCTTGATCCTTCAAGCCGTACGCAGCATCCAGGTCGTGGAAGAAATGGACCTTAAAGGCTTCGTCGTTGGTGGCACAGAGTATGTCATCGACATACACCAAGACGAACACGATGCGCTCTCCGTCCAGCTTATAGTAGAGGCATGGCTCTGTAGAGCACCGCTGGAAATCACGTTCGAGGAGCCACCCGTTGATCTCCGAGTTCCACTCGCGTCCAGACTGCCGCAAGCCGTAGAGGGCTTTCTTCACCACGTAGACATGACCTTGGCTTTCACACGGGAATCCTTCTATCTGCCGAACGTACTGCTCGATCTCTAGCTTAGCGTTTAGATACGCAGTATTGATGTCTCCACCGTAGACTGTGAGTCCTAGCTCAACCGATGTGGCCAGTAGCAGTCGAAAAGACGACATCCGAGCCACCGGTGCGAACGTTTCCACGAAATCGATTCCAGGACGCTGCCAGTTTCCGAGTGCGACCAGCCTTGCCTT